CCATAAAAAAATGAGTCATTTCTATTATTCTGCTGCACACTAATGAAGACTAAGAAATTGTATATCTTTTGCCATCTTATTTAATATGATGCTTCTAGCTCTGTAGTTACTGTCCACATCTATGTATGGACTGAGTTAAATCAGTGTGTATTATGCCATATGTACCGTAAGTATGTTCTTGAACTCGTTGGTTATTGCCCAGAGGCGGCAGCAGAGTTGTCTCTGTGTATTTGAATCATGAAATAATGTACAGAATATGTGTAGGTGTTTGTTTCTTACTGAACCAAATGGTCCCTCATGACAAACACTGAGCCGTCAGTTGGGTGAACTGTTGAACTACAGGATGCTGCTATAAAAGAAAATGTGCTTCTGTTGTGGATGTTGTTATGGAAGAATAGTTAGATATGTTTGTTTGCTATTGTTATCAAAATTTATACGTCACATTCTTCTTTGCTAAAGAAACAGAAATAAGATATTTTTAATGTCCTGTTATCTTATGTACCCCCCCTGAAGCTAAAGCTTTGGTCACCAGTTACTGCAGTTGTTTTGGATTCTGCTGGAACACTCTTTACCCCTGAAACTCTGTAAGTGTTTTGTGAAATCAAACACTTCAACCACCCCTTCATTGACATAATGGTTAGTAGATAATAAGTGAATTTCATTTTTAGATTGTCTCAAAACCCTGCCCTCTCGCTCATATTGCCCCAGCCTGTGCTTAGATTTGCTCTGCTTGTGCTCAAAGTGTATGCGTGCACATTACACACATTTTGGTGCTTGGACAGATTTCCTAGTCGTGCTGCTTCTGTGCACGCATGAAATGTTTACTCTTGGATTTTTTTCCTTCTGCTCTTAAATTTTTTCTTTGTTTGTTACAAGTCTGTCAAAATTCACCAACCAATAGAATGCCAGGTGTAGTGTTGTGGGTGCATTTTTACCTCTTTCTGTAAGGCCAGTTACTTTAACCAGATCCATGCACTCCCTCCTCCAGAGCTTTATTTACACACTGAGCTAACACAACCATATCTGAGGGCAAGTGCAGAGTTTGAGCACAAGCAGAACACATGTTTACACAAGCAGGAGCGATACAAAATTACAAAATTACAAAAAGCAGCATTACAAAATTTGAACATGAAATCAACACTGCTCTCAAACTGACGAACCACACTCTTGAGTAAAGATCAAGGGGGAAAAAACATAATCTCTAACAGGGAATGAGCAAAGGGGAAAAATATTTGTTTTTATGAGGAATTATTCAGTTATGTTCAGCCAAGATATGACCTGCAATACCTGCATCATTTGAGTGATAAGTGAATTATACGTGTGTGTGTGTGTGTGTGTGTGTGTGCGTGCGTGTGTGTGTGTACCCTGTAAATACAGAGAGCTTATTAGCCTGGAGGCGGTCACCATAACTACAGCTTTGGTGCAGCTGTGCAGTAATGTGGCTCAGTATGTACAGTGTTAGACTGATATTCTGTCGGTTTGTCTCGCATCCTTCCTGTGTCTCTCTCTTCAGTAACTGCTGTTGCATCCATATTTCATTTCCATAAACACTGACAGTATTAATCTTTTATTACACTGTAATTAACCAATCAATCCCTAAAACTCAATTTGAAAAACTGTACAGACTAACTCAATAAAGTCCACATGTGTAACTGCTGCAGTGTCAGTGGTGTCAGAGACGGCTCTCTGATCAGATGGGTGGATGTTTCTAAGCGTACAGATCAGAGAAGAGTGAAGCCATTTTTGGCTGCCATTTAGTTGGATGTAGTTTAGAAACAACAACGACAATCAATCATTTAACTCATCAGCGGCCAGTCTTAAGATTTTCATCAGTAATCACAGAATTTATTCACAACTTAACTAAATCTTCTTATCTTTTTATTTTGCTAAATGATAAAAAGAGAGCATGGGGAAAACTTGCTGTGGAGATAATAAACATATAGAAAACATTTATATGCTAAATAATGTACAAATGTACAAAAATCTGTTGCTGTATGGTTTTTCGGTTCAGTCATTAGAATAAATAATGATAATAAATAAATAAACAGATTTTGAACAGACACTGTCCAGGTTTTCCCAGTGTGGGAGCTATTCACATCAAGATACAGAAACGCTTTCAAAGCATGTGATTTCGTCCAGAGGGGCAACATTTCCCAGAGAGTTAAGCTACAAATAACAAGTATAGACGTGAAAATGGGGTTGTTGTCAGCATCGGACTTCCTGTCTGGGGTCAAGGAAGATGGATGGACTTCCTGCAGCTCTGCAGTTTGTGATGTGTCCACATTTCTAGCATCTGAATTATGTTCTGAAGTGGCACAGAACCTGACTGTGTTTAGGTCTGGCCTGGTCCTATCTGCTGTTATTGCTTTGTGTCTCACAGTGCAGGCATGTGTTTCTTAAACTGTGGGTGGCTTCCCTGTTTCTGGTCGGTCTCAACATGACAGGGATAGCCGTGGTTTCATGAAGCACCAACCCAGGGCGAGACTATAAATTTACCTTTGGGTTCCAAGGCTGGAAAGGTCATCGCAAATAAGACACAGTGGAGTAACAAGAGGAGGAGTGGTGAAAGGGAGGAAGAGATGAGTCGATGCAGAGAAGGGCTGTAAATTAAAAAATAAGGTGAGGAGGAGAGAACAGAAAAACAGGAGTGTGCTTTAGAAACTTGCCCATGTCTGCAGGGGCCTGGGGCCAAAACCAACAGAGTAGTCTGGTCACACACTGATAGATGGTCATAGGAAACACTTAACTTCTGTCGCTAATGTTGACAGACAGCAGCAGTGTGTCAGAGCCACACTGTGCATGTTCAGTTGTCTGCTTTTGCCTGTGAGGGTCTTATAACATCATCTACAGCCTTCATTAGTGGGTCCAGTTTAATCAAATGTGCCACATTCAGTACGATAAGCCCTGGGCTAATGTCTCTACATCCATGTTCTCTCACATTTTTTCATGGTCTGTGTCTGTGAGCACATAAAGCTCCAATTAACACATTTAATTAGCAATGTTTGATCATTTTCTCTTAATCACACGATCAACCAAACAGAATGACATACTATATGTGAACTCATGTCAAACAAGCCTCAGGCTTCTCTGCTAGCCCTGACTACCCCATGCTAACTGTATATGCCTGCTAATTCAGTCCACTCCTCAGATACATGGTGGGGTCACTGATGATAATGTCCATTTGAGTCAAGATAAGTCAACTTTAATTTTTTATCAACAAAAACTAAAACAGCTCAGTTATTCAAAGAAAGAAATGTAGATTATGTCAACGGTTCAGTGTAATGATTTTTAATTTTAACACTATGTTTTACTTTTGTATTTTTTCTCATCTTGTTAAAGTCACAGTTCTCATCTAATGATATTCGTGCAACTTTGCTGTCTCATCTTGCATTCTGGCCTGTCACTTTAGACACTCTTAACATGACTGTGTTTAATATGATGAAGTCAAAGTTTTCATCTGGCAGAAGCTTTACACAAACAATTCAGACAAACCGCATAAAATCAGTTTATTCTTATATTTATTCTTATGAACACAGACATGGTCCAACTCCATGTTGTCACGGATGTGAGATTCAGGGTTATAGACTGGAAAAGAAAATTGCTGGATTGCTGCATCATCCTGTCATCCCAAGTGCAGACCATGCAGTTGTAGGATAATTGGCTTGATTTCAGCTGTAGATATTTTGTTGCATCTGTCATTTTCCATTATTGTCTCCTCTCTTTCATTGTAAAATTAAGACTGTAAAGGGAAAGTATCCTCTTAACAATACATTCATAAAATCATAAACAAACATGTATTGCACTCAGTAGTGTCCATACCTCCGCCAAGTCCCAACCCTCCCCTTTAATTCACTCAAGCTAGTTTTACACACTGATTGATATTAGTAAATATGCCTGATTTTTATCTAGATCCTTGACTTATTCTCTGGGAAATCAGTAAAAATGTAAAATAAAAAAGCCATATATCGCAATGTTAAAGAAAGAAAAAAAAACAAACAAACACACAAATGCATGATGAAAACACAACCTACTTGGTGGAGGTAAGCTTCAGATAAACTTTAGTACTGTGGAAGGGATGTGAATGGTCATTCAGTAGTCTTGATTTGATAAGCCAAAAAAGAATCCGGATTCCAAGTTTGCTTTTGCATTGTGTGGCTCACGCCACAACCCTGCACACTACCTATACATATAATATGTATGGATTGTACTGACCTATGCACAAATACCCACAGAGTTGCTATGACTCAGATCTGTGTGTGTGTGTGTGTGTGTGTGTGTGTGTGTGTGTGAGAGATTCACTCTCTGCTGGCTGTAATTGGCTATAAGAAGCAGGAAGCAGACGCTCTAGCTTTTTACAATACTGACAGGCAAACTGGAGAGGACAGCAGTGTCACTCTGAGAGACGCAGCAGACCTCGGAAACATACAGTACATACGCACAAGAACAGAAATAAGCTGCACAAGTGGACACGCACAGCAAACAAACGCAGGGACTCATGCACTGTGATTCAAAAATCAGGACAGTGACCATGAGGAGAGTATCACTACTGCACTTATCTTCGATGAAAATCTAAAACACAATGGGTGGGTAGATAAAACTAGATAATGGATGCACACAGTCAGCTCTACATAGCAAATAGAAAAGGATGCGGTCAAGTCAATTGACAGGAACATAAAGGATGCTTGAGCAGATATGTGGATGTGATATGTAGCAGCTATGACCGGGTGGTTTTTGTGTGTGGAGCAACTGAACCGTTTCTATTCAAACACTAAAATGGTGCAACAGTGATGACAGTCTGTCGACTGTGATGTCAGAAATATGAAGCATTGATACCGTCCGTCACGAATCAGTCATCATCAGGAAAGCTTTAATATTTTTTCTACCTCTGGCGTCTAGAGTCCTTTTTGAAGACAGTGAATCAGCATGTGAATCACGTTATTTTCATCAGTGCTGGATTGTGGAAGTAGAATGAACTTATCTTTTTCTTTCCCTCTGTCTAGACGCGAGACCTTGCTGAGGTGTTCCCAGTGTAAGACTGCTCGCTACTGCAATATCACTTGCCAGGTACAGTATAGTGTGTGTAAATTAAAGTGTTTGTGTGTGTATATATATATGTGTGTGTGTTTGTTGTATCTATAGTTACGATGACCAATTTTGGTTCAATACTTATAGACTTTGTGAGGACATTGTGGCTGGTCCTCACAAATTCAGTGGTCTGTTTGAGGGTTAAGACTTGGTTTTAGGGTTAATGTTAAAATTTGGTTTCGGTTGGGGTTATGGTTAGGCATTTATTTGTGATGTTTAAAGTTATGGTAAGGTGCTAGGGAATGTATTTTGTAAATGAGTGTCCTCACAACTATAGAGAGATCTTTGTGTGTCTCTCAGTTTGTAAAAATACCCTTCTTCTGCAGAAACAAGCCTGGTCTGACCATAAGAGAGAGTGTAAATGTCTGCGGAGCCTGTTACCCAGAGTTCCCACTGACTCAGTCCGTCTGGCTGCAAGACTCATCTTTGCGTTGGTACGTTTCCGAAGTTTCTCACTGTTACTCACAATAATGTCCACAAAGAAAGAAGCAACAACCTTTTGTTTTGTTGGATGTGAAGTGCTGTACGTCAGTACTGTGATAAAGTGATTTAGTTACCTCTGCTTTTAGGAATTTATTTCTGTTATTTCCACATCACCCTTGCACTTATGAAACACTCATGGAAGCTGATCTTCTTTGCTCTTGAGAAGTTAATTTCTCACCATCTAACAGCTTCAAGAGGCCAAACACATGTTTTGAGCGGTGAATCTGATCAGTTGATCTGTGAGTCTAAGTGAACATTTGTTCCAAATTGAGAATGATTGTCTCAAGTCATTCTTAGAATTAATTAACAAGGCAAAAAGGTTTTTGTGAGATCATAGTGCCCTTGAACTTTGGCTACCTAATTCCAATCAGTGCATGCTTGAGTCTAACTGGGTGTTTAACCAAAAGAAATTCAGGTCAACTCAAACTTGAGGTATTAGATGGTTTTAAAGTTTTCATCTGTAAAACTATGATGCTAAAACTAACATGCTAATGCACCAATCTTCTCTTTCTTCCCTTAAGTTGAGTCCATCTAAGGGCAGTAGTGAGGAGCTGTACACTTTAGAGGAGCATGAATCACGTAAGTCTCTCCTTCACGTGTGTGTTTGTCTGTGCGTGGTTGTGTGTGTGAATCAGCAAGGTTAATTTCTTTTATCATTTTTTCACAGACCTCAGTTCCATGTCTGAGCAGAAGAAACAGGGTCTTTCTCAGCTGGCTTCTATGTTAGAATTGTACCTACAACAGGAAGCACCTGACCTGGCAAAGGAAATAACATCAGCACTGCCACCATCCTGCAGAGAACCCCTCAGCCTCATTGCAAAGGTGGGCACATGCAAACACAATGCAAGTAGACACGTAAACATCTTACAATACATTTTGACATGTACACACTGCAACTCACCATGCACAATTACATGAGAAACTGTTATTGCCTCGAGTATCCCCTGCTGAGTTTGGATTGACCCCAACATATGTCGAGGATCTTTCGAGCATCTGTGATTAGATCCCTGTGTGTGTTCGTGTTCGTGTGTGTGTTCGTGTTCGTGTGTGTTAGTGTGTGTTAGTGTGTGT